GAGAGAGAGAGAGTTTTCCCTGGAGCCGTTTGATATAAAGTTGTTTCTGCTTTGCAGCTCGACTTTTTTCATTGATTTTAATGAAAATGCAATTAAAAATTTAGCATACTCCGGGGTATAAGTGCATTAACATTAACTGAAAAATGATTTATAGCTCGTTTGACATTTTAATTATGCTCGTCGGCGAAAAAAAAAAACAATCATACATATATGTGGATATTCGTATGTGCGTGCAACAGAGAAAGTGCGAGAGACCTTTCATCATCTTTTTTTTTTGGTTTGTTTAATTTTCCGGCCATTTGTTTTAATTTTTGTTGTTTGGTGTTCAATTTTTAATGTTCAATTAATTGCATTAAATTATGTGCAAAATTATGCACTTAAAATACAATAAGTTTCAACCTACAGGCAGAACTGACACAACGGATCAGCGGAAAACTGAATCAAAAGCGGGACATTTTTTATAATGATTCAAGTGCATAATGCATAATGCACGAACGAGAGGAGAATGGGAACCAAGTGCTATGCTCGATATCAACGATAGATGTAAATCATTGGGGACATTTAATTTAGATGTACCCGACCCATACTAGTTTTATTTATTATAGTTGGTCTGTCAAAATGGACTTAATTAAGGGTAGATTATTTCGATTACACTAGTCGACACGATATTTTCGCTGTGCGCCAAAATGAGTTTTTCTGATAGATCTCGGTATTTGCAAATTGTTAACGAATTATAGTTCTTTTTAAGGTTTAGTTTTCCACACCAAGGCTTAGATATAAGAATTAAAAATAACTGTCCACAAAATTTACTGCCAAAAAGAACATGAACAGGTACGGTATACATATGTATATTTTGGCAGTTGGACCAAGCAACGTACCCGAACGGTACCGGTATTTTTTCAGGTAAATGAGTTTTGAGTCGTTTTGGTTAAACGGCTGCAACTTGGCCGTTCATCCATAGATTCTATCAAAAAACAATACCTTAAATGACGATTAATTATTGCGTCTATCTAAAACCGAAAATTCATTCCAAGAAACATTTTTTTTCGACTTTACCTGAGTTTTTAAATTCAAAATTTTGAATTTAGAAGCTTAATATCTTCCAGATTTAAACTGTTGCAAAGTGTCTGAGTTGGATTTATAGCTGCATTTGTTAGCTTTTCAGAAATGCAAATTTCTATGCAAGTCTTTAAACATTTTTAATCCCGAAATCTAGCAGTAAAAGTCATTTTGGGCCACAACACGAAAAAAAAGTTAAATTTTATCGAGTAGAGTTTTCGTAGATGTATTACGTGCATTTACATAGTTTTGTGGCAAATTCCAGAATATTTTCAGCCATAAATCTAAGCGAATTCCCTCGGGCTAACCTTCAACTATGGTCGTTGTTTTCCATAACATGCCGTGAGTCTGTCTGGCAAATAATCTCTGCCTGTTTGTGCTCCCCAGAAATTTCTTTTTCATTAAGCCCAATCTCCTTGAGTTTTCCCATCGCCAGCTCCCTCTGTGCTGGGCAGCGCATCAAAAACCAATTAATTTTTATGTTCCAGCTTTGTGCTGTTTGTTGTTCTATATTTTTTGCAACAGCAGCAGCAAACAGCTACAACAATGTGGCAAGAGAATGCTGGACAGGACATACGCATACAGAAGCAATTAGTCAGAAAATTTAACACAGTTCATTGGGCAAATTCGAACATGGCCGAACCTAATGACATAATTTCGCCATTCGCCATTGACTGGATTAGATAATGCCCACAATACACACGAGCTCACAGACACGCAGACTCTGAGGAGAGGCCTCCGCCCTAATCCACCAGCCCCGACTAATTGTTATAGGTCCTGGCCGGGACACAAGACAATCTGTTATAAGCCTTCAGCTAAAGATTAATGATCAGAAATCCCCTAATGAAGTTATTCGGGAACAGGGAGGAATTGAGATTGGATTGCGTCTGCCCAACCCGATGAAGTGATGATGAACGTAATGACAGCAAAAAGAGAGGACCACAACTAAATGAAGGAGACGAAAGCACACAGCTCCGGGGGGAATCTTCTTTTTATTTATGATGCATTTAAATTGTTGCTCTTTTGCATATTTACCTTGTTATTTTATTACGTGCCGGAAATGAACTGAAATATAAAATAAAATAAAACAAAAAAGTACCCTGAAAGAGACCCCAGCGAAAGCGACCCCAACATAAACAGCGCGAAAACATTGTCACAGCATGAAGTCGAATGTTTTTTATATGCAAAAATATTTCATTTCCTACAGCAGCGAAATGTTAAATAATAAAAAGAAAACAACAACGGGAAGAGCTGGGAAAATCAGCAGGAAAATGAGCGACAAAGTAAAATTCATAGTGGCGAGGAGGGCCAGAGACAGGGAGACAGGGAGAAGACAGAGCAAATAAAAAAGTGCAATAAAAATCTGTTTAACATGAAGTGCGGCAAACGCACAAAAGTATGCTCCAGCGACAACTGCAGAGAGAAAGGATCTGAAGAAAAAGGAGCTGCGAAATCATCCTGTTATGTTCGTTCCGGCTCCTCCCATACACTTTACAACTTATGAGTGCTAATAAAATTCACTCGGCATATCCCTGACAATTCACAAAAAAAGTAACAGAAGAGAACTGTGCGCGTCCCTCAAGGTGTGCGCTTTGATAAAGAAATCGCCCCTGAAAGCAGGTCCGTTTGATGGGGACAGAGGTGGGGGTGCTTATACATACATACATACATACATATCCATGGACAGCATAAAATGCAAGGATTTCATTTTAAATTTCACAATTTATTGTGGCAGTCATGGACACAACAGTTTTGTGCAGCTTTGTGCAATTTCTGTGATAATTCTGCAAAGAATGGAAAGAGACGACGCTGCTTATGATGATGAAATCCCACTTCATGATCTCCCCGAGGCTTAGCCTAATGCCAAGCTTATTGAGAATTAGTGTTCGAGATTTATGCACTCTAGATTTTCATTCTGAACGAAATGATTTCTCACACTAATGCAATGAATTTGAATTAAAGGTGCCATTGTCAGTGGAAAAGTCAGTGGGAATTGGGAGTTGCAATGTAAATGTTGTCGCCGAACAATTTATTCGCGTTAGAAACAGACGATAGGAGTTTTCGTCTTAAATAATCTCAACATGTGCTTATAGCTTATCCAAAGAAAAAATAATAATATTGGAAATTATAATTTTCATGAAGACTTAAATCCATTTTAATTTATATATGAAGGAGGTACAAATATTTTCATTCAAGCCAAGTACTATATACGAATGTGCTATATAACATATTTCGCTCGGTGCCCAGTGTGACCAATGTGGGCTAGGTTTATACTCTACGGTTACACTGTTTTGTGTTTGATTACAAGCAGAAATTTGTTAATATTTCAAATTTTGTATTGAAGCAAGCAGAAATGTGTTATTGTTTGCCGCTGTTGAGCTGGAGGACGACAATGCACACCGCAATATTGGATAATTCCGATCCTGCAGGGCAAATATGTAATCAACATGATTTTTATCTCCTTATAATTTAAAAAGATTAGAGCCGGGTATAAGATTTAAGCCTAGTACACAGATCCAAAAACTGTTTGCTAGCAAACAGATGTCATATATTTTTCGAGCGACCAGTGCACTGGTCACCAAACAAACAAAACCAAGCAGCGGTCTGAGCAGTGTAACCGTTCGGAATGCAGTGCACACCTCTGGTCACACCACTGGTCGCTCGAAAAATATATGACATCTGTTTGCTAGCAAACAGTTTTTCGATCTGAGTACTAGGCTTTAACAAAATGCATTTCTTCGGCTGGGGTCGCTCTTCCCCAGGCATATCCTGGGCTCCCCAATATTTTATTGGCAAGGTAATGTGTCTGACTATCAGCAGCAGCAGATGGCGACGACTCCCGTGCCCACCACCGCGAAGACAAACTGTTTTGAAAGCAATATATGTTTTATATTTATAAAAATTAATTAAAATAATATATTATAATATCCATATAATTGTCCTTGAGTACTGCCTTCCGTACAGAGCCTAGAAAACAGGTTTTGCCGTAAAAAATTTCGTATCGGTTTCATACGAATATCAACCCTGATTCTGTTCGCGAGGTGTTTTTTTGGATCTGAGTACTAGGCTTAATAAATAATAAAAACAATATAATCTGTTTACTGCCTTCGACTGCCTTAATTAGATTCAATTTGTTTTTATTTTTTGCTCGAGATGGGAAAATACATTCGGTTTCTTTTCCATTATCTATTGGCCTGTCTTCTTTCCGAACTGAGTACCGGTCTCCAAAACTCCTGCTGCTGAATTTTCAGTCGACCGAAGTACGGTATACATTTTTATCGTTTCCATACGAATATCATCCCTGAATCAGTCGACTGAAAATTTAGCGCATCTGATTACCAGTGCTGCCAGTTTGGCCATTTTCAGGCTAGATCTAGCATTTTTAAAAGAAGACCAGCTTTAAAAGTGTTGGAAATAGTTTTTTGTGCATTTCGTGATGGTAAACTACGAGCCACACCATCGAAAAGCAATCGATAGTATCGATAGGTTTTATTGTGTTGTGTGGTGTGTAAATAATGTAAACTTGACAAACATTTTCGTGCTGCCGGGGCGGATAGTGGTGTATTTAAGGATTGTCTTCCCAAGTTCCCGCAGACACAACGAAGCCTACTGCTGCAAATGATGTTTGTCAACATACGGCCAGCAAAAATCATGTGTCAGTACTGGGCTGCTGATAAACGCTGTCGTGGAAAGAGTGTTCAGTCAATATAGATATGTAGTTAAAACTAAGTTGCGCAACAGTTTGCATATAAAAACATTAAATGCAATCTTAAGCATAGGATTTGTTTTTAAAATGAATAATTATTTAATACATTTTAACCCTGTTTTAAATTAAATAGATATGCGTAGTTGCCACAACTACGAATTGCCAGGAAAATATTTGAATTTAATTTCATTTTAGTTCTGTCTTATTTAATTTCGATTTTAGACACCTTTGGCATATTTTTTTTATCGAATCTAGCTTATATTGACACTTAAATTCGGGCAGCACTGTTGAGTAGTCGGCTTCACTAAAAAAGTGGGATCAAGAACCCCAAGCAAGTTCCCTTGGGGAAGTGACGTTTCAGTCAAACAATCAAACGTCAGGCGAGCTTCATTGACAGACTGGAGCATTTCGATAGCCATGAAATCGAAAGGGACACTTCTGGCAGCTATGCTACTGATGGTGCTTATCAATCTCCAGATGAGTGAAGGTATTTGGTTTCCCTGGTACTTCCATCGCTATGGACTGGAGCCGCACTCGGCTCGTCACAAGGGACTCGGCGGGGGGACAGCTCCGGCGATTCCCAGTGCAAAACAGCCAGGGCCGGCGAGCGGAGCCAAGCAGGGAACAAGCAAGGACAAGGGCAAGGACAAGAACAAGGGCGGTCCGACCTGTCCGCCTGGCTACGAGCCTAAGGACCCCAAGGCTGTCCGCGAAGCGGGATCGACAACTCGTATCTGCGATGATAATCCCGTGCTGATGCAGCTTGCCCGTCTCTATGTGGTCAGTCCGGAGAGGATTGTGCTGCTGCTGGCCCAGCCCTCCCTGGTGGACTCGTGCGCCGAGATTCGCGATGTCCTCTCGAACATTCACTCTGCAACCAGCAAGTGTGTCCTGGCCCCAGACAATATCTACGGAAAGCTGAGCGATGGACTGGACTACTTCAAGGAGGTTGTCTGCGAAAGCGACTGCGAGGGCAGCACACGCAAACGGTTTGCTGGGCTTTTGGAGTCCCAGAACTGCATCCGGGAGATGCGCACCGACATGATCGAGTGCGAGGCCCAGCCCGACTGGTATGAGACGCGGAATAAATCGAAACTCTGTCAGATCTACAACGATGTCCTGGACTGCTACTACACCAGGGCGGCCATGCTGTGCGGCATTGAGTCGGCCAAGCAGCTGAGATCCTTTGCTGCGGATAGCATGGGCCGGGCCATGAACCACAAGTGTGAGGTCAGCAAGAAACTTCCGAGGGTAGATAATGCCATGCCCTCAATGGCGACAATCCCCTCGCCCATGGGTATGGCTCTCTCTATCCTTTGCTTGACTCTCATAATTTGTTAAGGTTTTTCTTTCGGACACTTTCCTTTATGGTTATTTTCCATTTTTATTATATTTTATTACCAGCATACCGTGTGCAAATTGTTGAATAAATGTGAACATTTAGTTGAATGCTTTTTAGTTCCTTCCTTATATGGATACCTATGTATAAGAATGTACTAGTATATAACTCTCATTTATCTTCGAAGTCTAACTTAAGTGTTTGGCTATTTTCAACTAAATTTCAATAAATACCCATGGGACTTAAGCTGTCGACAAAATAAGCCAATTTACTAAGGTGTGTCGGTGCTTGTGTGAGAGAGGGAGAACCGCAAACACACAAAAGCTGAGAACACACTTGGACCAGCGTACACCAGGAAAGCCAAATGCCGGCGTTGCCTCTTGCTTCGAGCAAAACTCATCAATTATGTTGACGCGACTGGCAAATGTAAGGGAGGTCGGGTGGTCTCCCTATGTGGCCTTTATTAATGACACCTAAGCAATCGTTTGCGCAGGAGAGAGGGACATCCTACCGTTGACGGTGAGCTTCTGTCGCTGTCCATTGGTCGGAAAAACATCTCGAGCATTAGCATCGCAAGAGATGAATACTACAACGAGCAAATGATTGTCCCAAGGCCTTCAAAATGAGGAAATCTTGTATAAGTGGATTTTTTTTACAAAAAACTGTCCATGAACATTTTTTACCCACAAAGACTCGCAATAAGGTTGCGAGAGCACACTGACATTAAGGTATTAACAGGTATCATTCAACTGCAAAAATATTCAGCAGTTAGCCTTGTTATATTTGGATTTACTTATCTTTCATTAATTGTTGCGCAAAATAAACTATTAATGCGTATAAGAAGCAACACGATGTTCCACATAGAAATTGCAACTGACCCAAATTTCAGATTATTTTTTTAATGGGCGCTGAAAACCAAAATAAATGTACTACATACATATATACAATATGATTATCTGCTAGTACTCGAATTTAGCTAGCCACATAGCTCAACGATCAGTGGCTTGGTTGCAAGCCCCATAGGGGGACTGGCAAAGTCAAAGATAAAATGAAGCTGACTTTTATACTGTTGCCTGAAACCCCTTTTGTTTCTGTATAAAGCAAAAAGATAGCGACGCCACTGATCCCAAAATAATTACGAAAATATTAAACCGCACGCCATAGCTAATAATCGAATAATCTTGCTCCAATATACGTATTAATTTCAATTATTTCCACAAATTGCCATCAATAAAAGGAAGGTGGCAAAAAATTATGAGAGCCAGTACTAAAAATTTAATGCCATAATTAAACAAAGCGAAATGAGTGGCTAAAAGGGGATGGAAAGCCACCAACTCCAACCCGTTAAAATCCTGTATATAGAGGCAAATCCAAGCCGACAAAAACGGGCGAGGCGAGGGCGAGGCACAGGAGCAGGATGAATCGAGAGGAATATATGCCATCAGCAGAGGCAGAGGCAGAGGCAGACGGGATTGACTGCATGTGGCGCCCATTTGGTGTCGCCATGGATGACGATGTCTATTCCATTAAAATGAAGTTGTGCTTTTTCTCTGTAGCTTTGTTGCTGCCTCTGCTGTTGTTGCTTGGCGCCAACGAGACGTTGAAAACAAAAAGCAGATTGTTCACAAACAAAACACGGGGCACATTTCAATAGGGTTTTACCTGTAAATACTCGTAGTGGCACCAGGCCAGATAGAGACAGAGAGAGAGAGAGCGAGAGAGAGACGACTGGCACAACAGTGAGCCGGACCATCAGCACGCAGCTGTCCTCCAGCAGATAAAGTATCTTTTTTCCTCCTGTTTTGTTTCCCTTTTTCTGCTCTGTTTTTCCTTGGATAAATAAAAATAAGTGCTCTGGAACACAGACCATCCCCTCCTGTTGCTTTCAATTGACAATAAACATGGGAGCTGAACGGTGCTGCTAGACGGACAGGACCGGAGACTAAAACGTTGGTCATTCCCTCAGATGAATGTCCCTTTGCAATGTGTGTGACTCAGCCGATGGTTCCCGCCCTCACCGCCTTCATTATCCATTTTATAGCTAACAGATGTCTGGGGTCGGGGCGCCTGAATCTGAAAAATACTCCCTTAATTTGTCAGTTTTGATTTTTTCAGTCGATCGGAAGAGCAATTTAATATTACTGTCAATAATATCACTAACAGCAAGCAAAAAGATACTCGAAAGCGTTTTGCTTATCAATTTTTAACACACCTTGCTTATGCGCCACATTTAATTTACTTCGATAGATAATAGATTCATAATTCATGTTGAGAAATGAAACTGAATCTATAGTATATAGATTTTATTACTTAGGCATACATAAATATATATTCTCTTATATTGGAAATCGGTTAAAGATATTATGATCTGAACATTGCGAGCACGTCCTTTCAAATATTAAATACAAATATTCAGAAATTTGCCTTTATCCCTTTACGCATTCTATTTGAATTCAATTCGATTCAAAGATTTCTATTCACCTTAATATTTCGTTCTCCAATTTTAAATTGATTAATATTCAATCCAAATAGAATAAGAAAAGTTGAGACTCTCGCAATTCGAATATTGAATCCATTTTGGAACATAAAATACAAGCTGGCTGAATCCAGAAGATAAAATTTATTTTAATTCTCTGATTTTAGTGACCGAAGTTCGTCCAGAAGAAACAATAATTATGTATAGTTGGGAACGATTAATTTATTGAATATATTTGGATGTAAACGTCCTATAAAAACAGTTTTAATGATTCCAAATCGCAGATACATTCTTCTTGCTATAATTCGTGTTCCAACACCCAACACCTCTCCGGAATTCTCGGCTAACTCAATCACTCCCTCAACCTCACTCACCTTACCACTAATACCATCAACATCAATTCAACCACACAAAACGCACCACCACAGACAGAACCCAACCCATCCGAAGCACATTTGTTTATGCTATTCTTTCCATTCAAATGGCACAGCACGTATTCCATCCCGAAAAAAGGGACAGAGCCAGAGAATTGAGCATATTTAATAAGTTGACAAAACATATTTCACACGCACAAATGCGTCAGCTTTCGGTTGGCTTCCATTTTGTTTGCCTCTCGACTTACTGCCAGCTGCCTACATATGTCAGGCATCATTATTAACAGATTTTTGGGTGCGACACGCACGAAACCCCAAACATCTGAACTCTCAATTTGGCCCGGGGCCGGGGCTGGGGCTGGCTGGTGGCAAGGTGGGGCAGAGGGACACACAGCGTGTGAAAATGGTATTGACATCTATTTCAATATTTATAAACGCGCCAAGAAAGTATTACCACAGGGGTGCAAGGGGATTTTGGTTTCATTGAATATTCCACTGAGCTTCGAGTGGCTGGACCTTAAATAAAGAAGTGTCCAGCCAGATACACAGATCCGCAGAAGCAACTCCGAACTGACAGACTCATGCACAGTCCATCAGAATCAATTTATCATTTCAACGTCATTCCTTTAAAGGTTATTTTCAATTGTGTGTGTTGTCCTTGAGTGATTTTGTCCACTGCAATTTTTAGTACCAGCAGCAGCAGCAGCAGCAGCAGAGCAGCGCACAGCACAACCCCTACCAAACGCAACCCAACCAAAGCATGTAAGTCTCATGAAATATGCATCATTTAACATTTACGAGTGGTAGGGTCCGAGCAAGCCGGAACCTTCGGTACATCCGGCAACTGACAGGGGAATTGGTGGCTGGTGGCAGGGCAAAGCGGATTCCACCTTCAGTTATGGTCCCCGGCTGGCCGCAACATAAATGCCGCAGCATTGGAGCTGACACTAATACGCAAAGCCTGGTTGGGCAACTAATAAGCGTGTGCCGAGGTGTGCCAACTGGCCAACGCACAGCGTCACCGAAGAGGACAGTGGACAGGGGACAGGGGATGGCCATCAGTATGACTGTTCCTGACTGGGTGTCATGGCCACGCTGTAGTTGGACAGGCCATGGGACGGGGGCCCAATCTTAAGAGTAACCAATCTCTGGCAATGCAGCAGGCAAATTAAACCCATATCAAACTAAAAGCATTGAACTGCTCTAAGCCAGGCTAGACATCGTTGCTCCAAATATCCAGGGATAACAAAACGTGCCCAGCACCAAGCACTTCCAATGGGGACCAGAAAAATGTGGCGTACAGTCGAAGGACAGTGGATAAAAAAGCTAAGATGTGTAGTGGAAAGTGTAGCAAATAAATGTGGAATCCCTACTTAGTTCGAGTAATCGCAATAATCACTATTAGGACTGGAAAAAGAATCGATAGTTGCTCGTCGATGTTTGCTATGGTTTCCATTTACCTTTAAGATATGGAAAAGCTGTTCCAGGGAATATTTGAAAAATAGGGAAAACGCTCACAGATAATAAGTGGCGTTCAAACTACAGGCTCTGATTGGAAAAAATATATGTTATTGTTAGTAGATTGAAGATTAATAATACTAATTCCAATTTGGAATTCTGAATTCTGAAAAATGTGAGTGTAGATATTTTTAATCCATTCAAATGATATTGAAAAGCAAAACCTCTTTTAAATATTAAAATTCTACTTCTTATCAATAATTCTTTTGGGCTTCGTCACGGAGCCTCCCATGGTGCAGTTTCGTAGACCTTCTTAGAAATTTAAATCAAGGCAGGAGTGAACCCAATACCAAAGACACGTCTCAGACATGCAAAAATAAAGTGAAAAGGAAAATTACTTTGCAGAGAGCAGTTGGAAAATCGAGTAGAGGCCATATCATTGGCATATTTATGCACAGTTTTTGCTGCTAGAGAGTTCAATGCATTGATTATATCTCGATTACGCATACGCCACGGCGTCCATGGCCGAGTGAGTCGTTCACAGATTCAATATTAAATTAATACCTGCTCGAGTGGGCCTGGCCAAGTTCAATAATTTATTGATTTCTCCAGTCAACCCGCAACTCAAACAGAACTTCAAACTGGAATCAAAAACAGAGAAGATCTCGGCAGACAACCTTCAAAACAGGCTGGACAAATTATTCCCGCCCGGCTTGTGGCTCATGCTTGCCGCTGTCATGGCACTTATTTAATTTATAATCAAAATCAGCAAACCCGACCCCAGAACAAGCCCAGTCCGAGTCCGTGCCAAGTCAGTCAATAGAAGTCAGAGGAGGACGCAAGTCAGAAGAGGATGGCATGGGAGGGTGAACTTGTGGCATTTGTGCTTATTTGGACATTCAAATTGCCTCAAGCATGAATTATGTGCGGAGAGCGAATCAAATTTGGCTCGAATTCATTCCCTGTTTTGTCCGCCATTGAAAGTCGGTGAAATGAATGTAAATAAGCGTGAAGATTCGCTTAGTGACTTTGGTTTCCAACTGTTGGCCATTGTTTAATGATAAGTAAATTGAACTTTCCCTTAGTTTCAAGCGCGGCGAGCTCCTTAGTTCAAAGTTTATGAACGAACAATGCTTCAAGAACTAAAGGTACCCCAAGGTCTAGTTTAGGTCGTCCAGGGTTCAAACTCTGTACTGTGCCTCTTTATACTCGAATTCTGTACAAAAGGAATTATCGGTGTAGTTGAGTAGTCTTAGTGGGAATTTAAAATTCCGCATCAGGGCATTCGTAATCGATGCCACAGTTTGCGCTGTGGGCTCCAGTTCCTTCACAAAAATGCTGATTGATCCTGGAATAATTTTGAATATTGAATATTTTACGAAACGAACCCAAAACGTCGGATAGTACTTACTCATGTGCTGAAGCTTATCGTATCGATCTCTATCCTGATAGCAAAAATATTGCACTATGAAATTATCGTTATCTGTTTCGGCAAACTGCGACCAAAAGCTATGGCCTTGATAAGTGCGTTTTACGCACTTTTCCTGCAGATAGTTTGGGTGGACTGCGTACAGATACCAACTGCCAGTGAACTTGGTGGGAATAAATACTGCTATAAGTTACGAATTTTTATATTAAATTAAATTTACCGATGTCTCTTTGGAAAACTCAGTGGGTAGTGGCATAAACTTCGGACACTGACCAGGAAAGGATAGCCTCATCTCCTTGCTTAGAGTTTGGCCCAACACCAACAGTACACTTGAGCGAGAATTGTCATTGAATAAATGGAATTTCAGGGGTTTAATATTTCGTGGCTTACCAAAGTAACTTCAGCATGGCAAAAGCGTTTTGAATATCCGACCTACAAACGAAAACGAATAACAGCAAATGCCACAAATCGAGTTAGTCACACTTTGTTGAAGCATTTGCGGAAGTAAATTTTATAATTTTGCCAGATTCGTTACGCTACTTAAGTTTGCGGCACGAAACAAGGTAATTACCCCCTCGATTACAGGCTATTGGATACCTTAATATGCATATACTGTACATATATTATTCACAGGTCACCACAAGTCACAAGTTTTTCATTCGCCATCGGCTAACAATAAGTTATAACCATTGGCCTTGACCGCAATCCCTTCCAGCCAAAATCAGCCAAGTTTCTTTCAAAGAATAATCAATTATTAAAATGCGCTGAAAGTCATTTGGCGGTCCTCATTAAAACACAGACGCCCGACAAAACCTCAAAGGCCACAGACAGCCAGAAGAAAACGAGTCGAGTCAGTTGCGCACCTTGCACCGAAGATGGAGAAGCTCAAGAAGGACTGTCACTCTCCACGGGTTGCCTCAAAAGATGCCTCCAAGTAGTAAATCACTTTCCACTAATGACATGCAATTTAAAGGACTTTAAAATAGTGTCGCCTAAGAGTGTGCCAGCTGCTTGCGGCATGTCAATGTCATTATGCAAGAAATGGCAGAGTGACGACGCGATGCAGACGGTGACGGTTGTAGCCGCGATTGCACCTGCAGCCGCAAGGCTCTTGTATTTTTCTCTTTTTATAAATAAATGTTCATGGATACACCCAAATGCCAACAAGCGAATACCCAGGCACACATACATACATTCGTATGAATATGCATAACAATAAATGCATTTTTAACACAAAATATATACATATGATGTATATGCATATGCGTGGCTGGATTTGTATGGGAACAGGGCGGCGGCAAGCCGAGACGAGCGCAGCGGAGGTCGAGCGAGTTTGTAAAACAATTTTTATGCTCCAATTTACAATCAAGACACGCACCAGAAATTCATTGCCACCTGAAGCATGTGGAAGAATAAAACTGAAAGCGGACAACAACGACTGACGAGTTGAATTGTGCTGGCCATTTCTCGATGTTCCTTTCTATCCTTTAGAGCATTTTTGTGGATCTTGAAAGGGTCTTTGCCGTGGCTTAGAAGTAGTAAAGTGAGCTTCGATTAGCCAATATTGCTGAGGAATTACAGCAATTACAATTTCTGAAACAAAACCAACGAAAACGATCATAAATTGTATTCAGGGGTTTATTTTTAATTTAATATATTTACATGCAAAAATTACAGCTTATAAACAAAACCCTCTCACCTACCATATTCTGGGCTAAAATTCCTAAATTTTCAGCATTCTCAACGCTATTTTTATATCAAACGTCCCCCTTGGTTTATGTTGGATGTAAGTCAGTGCACCTACAATAAGTATATGAATATTGGACACAAAATTAATAAAAGCGGCAACTGAAGAAACCTGAGAACTGAAGGGATTATGAAACTCCAATACCATTTGCGGCTTTGCGCTGCTTATTATTTTCTCTCAGCCCTTACAACAAAGCTCTGAGGAGCACGAAAGTGAATTATTCACAGAATCCCACATACCTAAAGCTCATTTCTTGTGTATTATATATCCGACTCTAGGCAAATTAATTTAGAATAAACCCAATGCGATAGGCGAAAATCGCACACAAATCAAAGATGCGAGCAGCTCAGAATATTTGGTTTTGCAATTTTGTGTATTGGCTGGGGGTATTGGAGTGGGAGGGAAAATAATTACACAGCACGCAGCAGACAATGCAAGGTGAAAATTACATTTCCAGAGCCAGAACGGGAACGCTCCAGAGAATGATGGAGATGGCTGGAGCCGTAGTAAGAATGTGCGCGAATGAGGGCTTTGGGTAGTACTCGCATTACATGCTTCTTAACTACCCTCCGCCTCATACGTGCCTAGCGTCGTGGGCTAAAGATATTTATACGAACTTGTTGGTTCTGTTTCGTTTGCGAGCAGGAAGGAAGGAAAGCCGGATGGAGGATGTAAAAGGGTAGCGAGAAAATGCATTTAACGAAACTTGAACAAAATTGTAATGTAAAGAAGGGGAAATTATACAACTTGTTGTTGCTGCTCCTGCTCGTGCTCCTGCTCTGGCTGCTGAAACTGAGCAAGTCAAGAAGTTGGCTGCTTCTCTAGTGTCCCTGTTTGTTGCAGCTCGAGATGGAGCTTTCTTCACTTTTTCATTGTTTTTTGTTGGGAGAAAGTGAAGTCTTGGCACCTTTATTTAAGAGACAGCCCCAAGGAGCTTTTGTTGCTGTATGCAGGAGATTAAAACCAAACGTGAGAGAGAGAGATAGAGAGGAGACCTTGCGAAGTGGTTGGTCGGGGAGGCGACATATGTTATGTCTCCTCCGTTGTCTGAGGATGGGGCCTCCGCCAGCATAAAGTCATTAAGTGGGGGAAATGAAAATAAATTTACGCTTGGTAAATAAATCTCTTTGATTCTTCACTTCTCCACTTCGTTTTCGTGTGCCGAACTACGGAGAAATACTTTAATTAAATTTTTATAAAAACCAGAACTGAACTAAGTGCAATACAAGGGGAACGTAGAAAATGGAGAAAATTCAACCTTAAACCTTGCTGTTGGAATCGCATTATTTCATCAATGACCTTCACTTATTAACTGCTAATTTTTTTCATTGGAAAAATCTTTCATATCGAAATTGCCTTGGCTTACTTAACTGGCCACCTTTCGTACTTAATCGAGAAGTGTTCGGCTGAGGTTCGAGCTTTATGGAAGGGAACGTACAGAAACTTCTTAGCCAATTCCGCCGGCTCCTCGCTTAACCCATTTCAGCAAATGCGTAAACATTTCACGTAATCGCTCAACACCTAATCAGCATTCAGCTTCAACCCTTCAGCCGCTCTTGGCATTGTGATGCAACAAAGTTTGCACTGGGTAGCAAGCCCCAGCTCCAGGCTCCGCCCCATGAGATGTTACGAGTGCCCGCATCCCATCCCCATCCCCATCCCCATCCAAGGAACAGAAGCCACAAAAGTTGATGCAATGAAGAGAAAGGGGAAACGAGCAGAGCCACGTTTATCGCAGTTCCTTGTTGCTTCAGATACTGCTGTTGTTGGTGCTGGAGTTGATGTTGGCATGAGCATATGAGCATAAAGGATATACGCTGTAAATTTTCATTTTTATGAAGTTACACAAAGTACTGAAATGTGGTTACACTTCGGATTAAACTAAGGTAAGTATGCAAAATGTTTGAGTATTCTCACATTATATGTTTGCCCTTTTTTCTTGGCACAGCCAAGAAAGAAACAAGTAAAACCAGTGCAGTGAGAAGAACTTACAATTTAGATCGCTTTATATCTTTAAGGGAAGAACAATATCATTTAAATCGGTAAAGCTGTAAAAAGCTGTAGAGCTAAAATTCCTAGCTATAGGAATTTTTCAGCCCGATGAAGTCAGTTGTTAGCAGATCGATGGATAATATAGATCTATGAATCACAGGCAACTTGCAGGCACAGCCATCTGCTCGCTGAGTGTTCCAAATTGATATTTTTACTTTTTAACATAATTTGATGATGGGGAGGGAGAAGGAGCATGAGCAGGTTTAATATCTTTAGGATACCAAGAAATATTAGAATACAAAAAATCTAATTTTGATTGACATATTAAGGATCTGGTTTTTTAGTTCTCTGTAGTTATCTGAATTTTAACGAACAGTTGGTTTTGGTTTTCATTGGCACCAAGTTCTTTGTTGATAGCTATATTTAACTGTTGCAATCAAATATTATCTGGTTCAATTTTAAAATGAACTCCAATGCAAGTTCAATAAATGGCGTTTAAGGCCATTGCACAATACTTCCACCATGAACTCATCTGCTACCAAATACAAATATGAAGTTTCCAGATCATTTTCACTACCGCTTTAAGAGACGGCGACAAACCTCAAGAACTGTGTAGCGATTCTCTCGATTTTCAGCTGTGTCTGATGCGCGAGGGACGCTATGGCTGATTTATTTTACATGTCACGACATAAGCGCACTTCCAAGTGCCAATCGGCGGGGTCCCTGCTGCCGGCTGCCGGCTGCCTGCTGGGGTATTTCCTCTGAAAATGTGACACGTTTGTGTGTTTTCGTGCGTGTAATAAATTTTTTATATGCACTGCGCAAGACCAAAAATAATGCTAAATTCTTAATCGACACCTGTCAATAAAGCATTCTTCTTCCATTGTCGTCTGGTCGTGATGGGACTCATGTGTTGTGTGTCTGTGTGTGGGCTTTCTGTTGGGACTGGGACTCTTCTTTCCCTTTTTCCCTCTTTTAATACGCCTCCCATGAGCTTAACACATAGCCATACCCGCAATGCCTTGCATACTCTTATTCCTAGCTGCCTGTGGGGCTTCTCTCATTAATATCCGCAAGTATTGACAGCTGAGATTTCCTGCCATGTTTCGAGTGGGCCAGAGAGTGCGTGAAACGAGGCAGATTCGAGCGAGGCAGAGTTGAGTTAATAAAACATCGAGTGACATGTTTTAGGAAGGGAACGTGCGTGAAATTCTAAAAAGCGCAAATCCTTTGCGGTCCTCCTCCTTGTCCTCTCATGCCGCTTGCCATTGTACTATGCTCAGCTCTTAGATTACTGTCGCTATTTTTTTTATTAAATATTCTGCATTGTGTGCAACTTTTATACAGGGCGTAAGTAAACATAACTCATACGCCGCCGCGTATGCCGCAGCTACCACAAGAGGAGAGGCAGTGTGAGGGCTCAGGTGGAGGAGGGTCTAGATTCGCTGTTGACCTCAACTCTCCACCTGAATGGGGTGTTGGGTAAGCTCCGAAGGCTGCGGCCCAACAAAAAAAGTCTAATGACAGAGATTTATGCTGTAATTGCATTTAGTGGGTCGACGGAGAGAATGAAACAATGTTGGGTTGGACCCCTAATGAATACTGAATACTCTTACTAGGATTTTGATATTCTTTTACACCCCATGGTATTCATTTAAAGCAATACGAATAAAAAATAATCATGTGAACAGTTTTGTGAATTTCTGTTTTTAAAGTTTTCTTTTTCTTTAATGAGTGGAACATGCAAACA